AATAAATATTATTAAAGATATTTTACGCGCGATGAGAAACGATTTAAAATTTAGATATAATTATAAACAGATTCACCAAAGTCCATAAAAAAAAACATTCATATTATTTATATAAAACTTTATTTCTGAATTATTTTTGAGAAACAATATATATTTAAAAATTAAAATACATTCTTTATAGACTAAAGTCCTTCTTTCTTTTCTATAAATGTATTTTCAAACTTAAATATTTAACAACAGATTGAGATTGACATTGATGTATGCAAATTGAAAAAACCTAGATGTACATAAGATTTGGTTAATACAAACAAAATATATAATAAAACTTGGTGTAAATAAATTGTTGATTTGTGTTTCCGTTTTTACTGAATGTGAATTAAATAGAGAACAACAATACTAAGACGATGAACTAAATATGTTTCTTGGTTGACTTTGTAATGGATAAATATCCATGTTGTTTGTCTTTAATTTATATTCGATACCAGCTCGAATTTGGTCTAAATTCAATGCGTTTCGATTTCAGTTTCATAAATTTAGTATCTTCAAATGTGGAGCATGGCAAGAGATTTCCTGTCGCGATTGCTGCTGGATATCGCTGGAGCCGTGACAAGCGTCAGGCCGTGGTGGGCTCATCGGTGACCAGGGAGAGGCGACGCTTCACGTCCTGTGTGGTATTGTAGGCGCCGCAATTGACGCACTTAAGCCCAATGAAATGGAATTTGGTCTTGGAAGTCTGCAAGGAAGTAGCATATATGCAGATGTAGCACAATGCGGAGTCAGTTGTACGGATAAAGGCCTCACCTTGTGGCAATCGTTGCAGAAGATGTGCACACGCTGATTCTCATACTTGAGTGGAATGGGCATGCGCAGCGCCTGCGCATCCAGATACTCCCACAGCGCCGTCATGTCAATCAGCGACGTTTGGCAGGTGGGACAGGTGTAGTGGCCCGATGCCAGCAGCTGATCGAAGCACATCTTGTGCAGCAAGTGGCCGCAGTCCGGAATGTGGCACGGAATGCGCGAGGTGTGTATGTCGCCCAGGCAGACGGGGCAATGCGAGCGCGAAATGTTCTCGACGCACTGCACAGTAAAAGCAAAGTGGAGGGCACAAAAGCAGGAAATTAATATTTATTTATTTTTTTTAATAATGAAAGCATCCTTAAGTTAATACAAACAGAAAAGGGGGCGCGTCAAATATTAAGCATACGCTGCAGTCAAGCTATATATCTCCAAACGCTTTTCTAAGCGCCTCGATCTTGAGCACTACAAAAGCTATAGAGCTTAAATTATTCATATAAATGTATTCTCCAATAAACAACAAAAATCTAAAATTTTTATATTCATTTAAATTTGGATAATATTAAGCATCATCAAAATATCGCTTAGTACTCTAATTTTCTTTTTCAATTAGAGCTCGAATACTGGAGTCAAATCTACACAGATGCTGAGCATATAAATCTCTGCTTATCTTGAGTTTGATTCTGGAGAAAACACAGTTTAAACATTGTATATATATTAAATATATATAACATATGCATACCACAAAAATGTCATACATATGGTATCTTTTAGTCGAGCAACTTCAACCAACATGTTTCTTTCCTTTCTTTATTGTATATAGCAGATTTTGGGATATCTGCTAGTTTGACATACCCCACTTTTAAAGCTTTCTACAAACATAAATTCTCAATATTAATCAGTACCGGTTTTAATATAACTCTACCTGTTCAAGAATTAAGAATTTCGACAATTTAAGCCTTAATTTGCCTGAATTTTAAGTTAAGCTCAACAACCTTTATTCAGCTCTGTTGATGATTCTTCATTAAGGTCAATATTCAAGGCTAATAATGTCTCGTCTAATAATCTACAATCTATTTAAGCACATATTAGACTTTGCCTAGTCAAATAGGATTAGCATTGTAACTCAAAATCGCTAAGCTCGAGATCTTAAAATCTTTTTAAGCTGTGCTGATATGTTACTAACTACAAAATGAAATTAATTAAGCATGATTGAGCCTTCTTCATTTTTATCAATGCCTGGGTTCCAATGGGGTATTCAACTAATGTGTCACAGCTAAGCCATTATGATATCACCTCCTCGATCTAACAACTGCTTACCCTATGTCCATCGATCTTCAGCTGCATCGGCAGACACATGTTGCAGACCTCGCAGTGAAAGAAATTGTGAGCGCCGCCGATGCGGCAAATGCCACAGCCATGACAATGATATTGCTGCTTGTCCGAATCATCGAACAGATTGCAAATAAGGCAAGTGTACTGGAAAGAGTAACATCTATAAGCAAGTATTCACACAGAGAGAGAGAGAGAGAGAGAGAGAGAGAGAGAGAGTTTAGATACTTACCTTGCCGAAGCGTACGCCGCACTTCTCACATTGTTCCTGCACCTTCTGCCGCGTATTGCACTCGGAGCAGATGAGTTCCGTTAGAGTCTTGCGATCGAAGTGATGAGATTCGTTCTCATCATGGCAGAAACGACACTTGTAAAACTTGTCGCAACAGGGTGTCTGCAAAAAAATATACAGGGTATATGCATGTGTTAGTATTATCTTAGGAGAGTTGTTAAAATAGATAAGAAGATGTAGAGAAGATCAATACTGATACTGATCAAATCTAAATATATATATATACGCGGCCATGTTCTGCCATGTTACCTACACGGGTCTATTCAGGTAAGTTACTTTAAATATACTAGTAAATTATTGCATTCAGTCTATATAAGAATGGATGACAAATCAAGTGAAACTCAGTGCGAATTCAATGTGAGTTCGAAGGCAACAATGGAAAGCTGAAAGTTAGTTTTTTTAGTACGTGATCAAATGTCGCAATGTCCCGTAGCAGTTTCATTTATTTTGATAACAGATATACAACTCGGCTTGGACTATGGCAGTTGTCATTAACATAAACTTGGCACATACAAGTCGTAAACCCTATATCTGAATCTGAATCTGAATCAGAAATCAAATACAAAGAGCGTCGGCTCTGGCCAATTTGTAGCAATCACGTCACATCATTAGATGTCCGATAATTAATTAGCTAAACAAGCCTATTTCCCACACATTAAATGTTTAAAATTGTCAAAAATAAACAATAAATATGAAGAAATATTATTCAGTATTTTTATAACTTCACACATTGACTTTCAAACTGTAATAACTATAATCGGGCAGACCATGACACTTTGTAACAATTCTAAAACTCAAAACAGAAACTTGACCATTGCCTAGGCAGGATATATGTATGTATATAACAGGTATGTGGACGATTCTTGATAGATATAAGCATTTCAAAAATTTTAGATTTTGTATTCTTGATAGATATAAATATTTTAAATAATTTAGATTTTTTAATACATTTTATCCTTGTTCCCAAGTTCGGTTGAAAAGCATTTGAAATAATTGAGATTCT